TCCAACCGTCGTGTATTCTTCCAACGCTGACGTGCACGTGACACTAAGGGCTGCCTGTGTGAGGACGGTGATCCTCAATGCTGAGAGCGCCCTGATAACTCCCTACAGGGAGGCACACGAGAAATCTGTCCTACGTGTCCCAAATAGGCAGCCACTGCCTCTGACACCCCTTGCATTGCATTGCATTTAAACGCACACATCAAGCTGGTACTTCTACATGCGGCGTTACCTCCGGTTCTAAAATACAATCTCTGTAAAGGGCGGGAGTGACCTGGAAGGTCTGATCATCTTGGATCCTCCAAGACGCCCTCCCAATAAACGCCTTACAGATGAACAGGTCGAATGAACCTTAGAAAATGAAGTTTAGAAAGCCCGAGACAGAACCTAGAAAGCCAAGTTCCCGCAACAGGCCTGAGAGACCGTATCTGTTTTTGTCAACACGAGCCCCAAAGCTAAGTCCATACACGGCAGGAAGAATGGAAAATTACACGAGAAGGAATGAACACCCACGGAAAGCTCCCCAGTGTAGGTTACCGAAAGGAGGCCCAAGGTATTAGATCACCACGATTGTATCGCGCGTTGCAACGTGATCTTGGCCGGACAAAATACAGGAGCGTAAATTGAAGCCAAACTGAACTACCTGGACCTTGTTTGTAAACACCGACGAAATGAGCTGAAAGTCACAATGGCAGGCAAGCTGGTTTTCTGTTACCTTTTGCAGGCGACTAAAAAGATCATTTATAACCCCAACACTCGGACGACAGCTGACAGCCTGAAAATGAGCCCAAGTCATAATAAAAGCTGAAGGGCTTGCTTTAGCATTAAGAGAAAATTGCATCCAAATGTGATTTCTTTCTCTCTTGGCCCTTGTAACCCTCAATTAAGCAAGCTATATAAAAGGTAATCCCCAAATTATCACAACTTCCAGGCCAGCATCCAAGCAAGGCTGCCCACCGCATTCTAGCATTATCTCGATCAAGAAAGCACTGGGGGCCTCCCAGGTGCCAGTCACTGTACCAGGTGTTAGGGGACACTGGTGACAAAGGTAAGCCCCTATCCTTGTGGGATGCCATTGAGGAAGACAGACTGTAAATAAGTAAAAAAAAAAAAAAAAAAAAAAACCCAATGATTGCAGGTGCGCCGTGGTGAGCAACTGCAGACAGGTGTGGCTGTGTTAGCAAGGACCAGCAGTGATCGCGAAAGGCTCTGCAGGTGACCCTGACGTGAGAATCTGAAATATAAGGACAGAGGTATTTGCAGAAGCAGGACACCAACCTCCCAGGCAGAGGCAAGAGCAAGTTCAAAGACTGTCCCCCCCCCCCCGCCCCCTCCCTGCTAGGGCAAGAGAAGAAATGAGGCTCATGTTAGCAGAAGGCAGTGAGGCCTGCACAGGGGAAGCTGGAGGTGGGGCACAGGCCACCCCCTGTGGCTGCAGGCTGTTCAAGGAAGAGGGTGACGTGACCTGATTTGCAATTAAAAAAAATTTTTTTTAATATTTATTTTGAGAGAGAGAGAGACAGAGCACAAGTACGAGAGGGGCAGAGAGAGAAGGAGACACAGAATCTGAAGCAGGTTCCAGGCTCTGACGTGTCAGCACAGAGCCCAAAGCGGGGCTCGAACTCACGAACTGGGAGATCATGACCTGAACCGAAGTCGAATGTTCAACCGACTGAACCACCCAGGCGCCCCTGATCTGCAATTTTTAAAGCCAGTCACTTGGGCCCCCACCCGGAGAACGGACTGGAGACACCCAGAGTGGAAGCTGGTCCAGGATGGTGGCCAGGACCAGCGTGGGGGCTATGGTCGTGGGGACAGGTGGACACCAGACAGTAACCCGGAAGTGGAGCCACTGACAGCGTGGACGTGGAAGGTCAGGGAGAGGATGAGCAAGGCCGGCTCTTAGCAAGCAGGTGGGCCAGTGGCTGGGATGCAGAAGACGAAGGGAAGGGAGAGCTGAGGGGTATCAAAAGCTCCATTCATGGACAAGAATTGGAAGGGCCCAGAAGGGCTGTGTTGGAAATAAAAATGCGGGGGTCACCAGCGGGGGTGGGTGGCTAACATTACCTAGGAAGAGAGTGTTGACCGCACAAAGGAAGCAGGTCTGGGCCCTACGTGGCCCTGTCACTCCAAGGTCAGAGAGAAGAGTGACATCAGAAGAGGGCCATCAGGAAGGGGAGCAGGAAGGCAGGGGAGTGTGGTGGCCAGAAGCTGGCGGGGGGGGGGGGGGCAGTTGTTCCAGCAGCGGGGGAACAGCCGAGAGGCTAAGGCAAGGGCACAGGCTCCCAGCGACCCCACCGTCGGGGCGGGGCTGCAGAGCATGGAGGGCAAACGAGCGAGACAGCGGACGCGGTGGCTTCAGGACAGGCGATTTCAGTGAAGGGGAGAAAGCGGGAGAGAGACGCATGACAGACGCTAGGGTCGTGCTGTCCCATACAGCGGGCCGCCACCCACAGGTGGCCATGTCGATGGAAATCAAATTACAAATTCAGGTCCCCGGTCACGCCAGCCACGTTTCAAGTGCCCCACGGCCGCACGTGGCTGGTGCCGGCCGAATTGGGCCACGCAGACACGGCGCTTTTCCATCGGTATGGAAAGTTCTACACGGTGGCCCTGGACCAAAGCGTGTTTGAATGCTGATGGCAAAGAGCCTGGACAGAGGGAGCTGGAAGAACAGAGAAACGTTGCCTGACGAGGTGAGAGGGGACAGGGTGGCTGGTCCTGTGGGGGGCGGGGGGGGGGGGACAAGTGGGTGAAACAGGTGGGAAGCAAGACTCGGGGCCACAGGGCGCGAGACTCTCCTTGGTCCGTGGCTCCTATTTAGTCAGCGGAGGGAGGCAAGGTGTGGTGGGGAGGGGAGATGGGTCTGAGGAGGGGAGAGAGGGTGCCACCCGCTGCCTCGCTGCTGCCTCGGGAGTGAAAACACCACCTTACCGGGGAGACCACACACTTAACGCAAAACACTTCAGAGGAAAAGCATCTTAAGTGGGGGAAGAAATAAACTCAGATCTTTTTTTCTCTCCTGAAGTCTTGGCCAGGTCTACACAGTGAAGCCGCGACAGGGCCACCGTGGGGTTCTCTCCTGGCTGCCCTTCCTCCTCCCCTTCATCCTACTCCACTCTCTAGGAAAAGACATTGGTTCTATTCTCGGTGAAAATAGCTCCCTCCACCCTCCTCTGTCTGCACCGCTTCGCCAGCCTTAACTCCATTTCAATTTACAGCCGTGCCTTGTATGTGCATGGAAATTACAGGAGAAGTGGGCATATGGGAACTGGCAGCATAGGTAGGAGTTACAGAGCAGCCCTCACCTACAAGAAGCGACAGCCGCGTCCTGAATGACGGTAAAACTCCATGAAAGCCGCAGTCTATTTTAACAAGGCCCCCAAGCCACTCCTGCCTGATGCTCCACAAACAAAAATTATCTTCTGACATTTTCTTTAAGCTTTTATGAGTAAACATTTTCATTTCCACACAACTATTTGATCTCAACCACAGAGTTTCAATATTTGTTTTTGATCACGCAAGCGTGTTCAGTTGTTCTGCGTTGTCTGGGGGGAGAGGGGGAGGGACAGACAGAGTTAAAGTTACCAGACCCCTTTTATCTTCCGTCCTGAGATCTACATTTGCTACCTCCTTTCCCCACCCCCGTACATTTTTTTTTTTTTTTTGGTAAAGTATGAAATCTGAGAGCCTCAAAGGTTCCCACCGCACAGAAAGCAGCCTTTTCATAATCTACCAAGAGGTCACGGGAAATGTTACAGAAAACCTGCTTCCCAGCCAGCGAGCCTTGGGAAAAGTCACCCAGTTTCTCTGCGTGTGAAATCTCCTAGACTGATGCCAGCAAAGCTCTTGACCCCTCTCCCCTCTGTCAGGTTCATGGGGGTCTGGAGAGCACCCACACCTCATCACGACCCTCCTTGGCCTGTCTCTGCTTCCCCGGACACTTTGCAGATGCCACAGGTAAAGTTCCCTGGGTAAGAGGACTCTGGAAACCTACCCCCCCGGCCCATGGGAGCCGGGACAACGTGGCCCCTCTCCCCCCCCTCCCCAGTCCCGTAGAGAAACCCAGGATCTGCAGAAGCGGCCAGCAGAGGTCTTAGGGTCACCAGAAGGGCCGTCTGAAGGGCGCGAGCACAGGGCAGGAGACAGACATGCGGAAACTCTGGTCCCCTGACCCCCAGCCCCCTGCCAGGTGTGACTTCCCTTCTGCAGACGCATGAAACGTCCTTCTACAAACGCTCCTCGGCTGCCCACCCTGGGGACGGTCACCCAGCCACCGAAGGCGTCAGTTTCGTCCCTGTAAATCGGGCTAAAGGACTGCTCCCTGCATATGGCCGGCACCCCACCGCCGTGCGCTCCCAGCGAGCGGGCAGATGTAAGGAGCTAATCGTGTTATTAGCACCGCGGCTCCCTGACTCACAGCGCCTGCTGCTCACGGAGACGCCAAGGAGAAATCAATCCTGCCTTTTCAATTACTTTATACACTCACGGGCATTAGTCACTTCGACAGAGTATCGCAACTTCTCCCCCCACGCCCAGCATCTTACTCCGATGCGCCGGAGCCTCACCCCGGCTCCTGGCACACTCCACCCCCCGCCACTCCGTCACCTCAAAGCAGAGTCCAAGTCCACTAGTCTACGCGGGGGGGTCGGCTCCCCTTCCAGGAAAACTTCTATTTCCATTCCGCCCGTTACGAACCCGGCGGCGGAGGACGACAGACTGCTCCGCACGCTCGGACACAGGCCCCGGAGTTGGCCGCGCGCGGGACCGCGGGGCCGGCCGGGGGTGTGAGGGGGGGTCCCGGCCGGGGGTGGGGGGGGGTCCTGTGCCCGCCGCTGCCCGCGCGTCCGGGCCCGGCTCGGAGGCGCAGGGCCACCGCGCGGGGGCCAAAGTCCGCGCCCCGGCCGGGCTGTCCCCGCCGGGGACCCGCGCGCGCGGGGGTGGCGGGCCCCGGCCGCGCGCTCGTCCCCGCCCCCCCCGGGCCCCCCGGGGAGCCCACTCACCCCATCTCCGGCGCTGCTCCGCGGCCGCTCCGACGGGCCCTCCGGCGCTCGCTCTCCGCGCGCTCCGCAGCCGCTCCCCGCGCCGCACATGCGGCGGCCCGAGCGCGCCCGGCTCAGCCCCGGCGCCGCTCCATGCCTCGGGGCTGCGCGGCCGCCGCTGCCGCCGCCGCCGCCGCCGCCAGGCGCGGGCGGGAGGGGGCGGGGCGGCCGCGCTCGGGCCCCGCCCCACCCCGCTCCCCGCGCCGGCCCCTTACGTAACCTCGCCCCCCCGCCCCGCCCCGCCCCGGCCGCGGCGGCCCCCCCCGCGCCCCGCGCCGCCGCGCTCTCCCGCCCGCCTTCCGAGAGGCCCCCTTCCCTCGGCGAGCGGCGCGGGCGCGCCCCCGTTCCCGGCCCGCCCCGGGCGCTTGGCGCCGCGCCCGGAGCGAGCAGCCCGCGGGGCGCCCCGAGAGCCCCGCTCGCGGCCGGAGGGACCACCCTGCAATTGCAGACGAGGGAACTGAGGCCCCGGGAGGGGAAGCGAGTTGCCCAAGGTCACATGACCAGATCAGAGCCCAGAGCTCCAGAAGCTGAGGTGGGCACGGGCGCGCCCCTCCTTGAAGCCCACCTTCCTTTTGCTGTCCGTTGCCAGGCTGGGTGGCCCAGGGTGCCCGCCGCCATGGACGCGGCAGGGAGGACCCGGCACCTGCAGCAGGTGTTCGGGGCCCTTCCCAGCGTCAAGGTGGGACGGGGCTTCCAATTACAGCGTAATCGCTCTTAAGGAGGCTAATTAAGCTTGGTTTTATTCTTAGAGCGAGGGAAATTGGGATGGCAAACGAGGAATTTAAAGACGAGCGGTCTCTTAATCCCCTTTCCACATATCAGGCCCTGATTTCCCAGTCAAGGCTGGCATTGGGGCGAAGCTAACCTCCATCCCCCAGGGCCTCCCGCCAGATCATCTTCTGCTGAGAACACACTGCCCACAGAAGCCTGGCATCTCAGGACAGTGGGCGGGGGGGGGGGGGGGGGGGGGGGGGGGGGGTAGGAACAAGCATATGAAGTAGGGTCACCACCTCAAACTTACCCTCACCTCGTCTGGGACCACAACTTTACCTGCTAGCTCCTCAGGGTGAACCCCACCCCCCGTAATTCATACTGTGGTCACTAACTTTCTCAGTTACAAATCTGACCATGCCACTCTTCCTAAAATCCTTCACTAGCTTCCTTTCCACTGTCCTTGGGATAAAGACCAAAATACTAAACATGCCTACAAGGCCCCGCCCCTTTACGCCTCTCCAGGCTTTTCTCTCTCATTCTCCTTTCTGCCCCTAGCCAACTGGCCATCCCCCTTTTCAGCCCCAGGACCTTCGCACATGCTATTATGTCCATCTGGGAAGACTTTTCTCCTCTCCTGTCTCTGTCGCCCCTAGTCAATTCCTACTCATTCTTCAGATCTCAGTTAAACTGTCACTTCTCGAGGCGCCTGGGTGGCTCAGTCAGTTAAGCGTCCAACTTCGGCTCAGGTCATGATCTCACAGTTTCTGAGTTTGAGCCCCGCGTCGGGCTCTGTGCTGCCAGCTCAGAGCCTGGAGCCTGCTTCAGATTCTGTGTCTCCCTCTCTCTCTGACCCTCCCCTGCTCATGCTGTCTCTCTCTCTCTCAGGAATAAATAAAACATTAAAAAAAAACTGTCACTTCTCTGTGGAAGCTTTACTTAATGCCCTAGACAAACCGAACCCCTGTACTTTTTCTTTATTGCACTTATTTGCAATAAATATTTGTGAAATTATTAGTTTTATATCTGTTCTCCCAGGCACATTTGCAAACTCTATGAAGCCATATCTTTTTGCTCATCATTGTGTCTCCAGTGCTTAGAGCTGTGTCTGAAAGTCCTCCATTAGTACCTGTGGAATGAATGAATTACCATAAGCCAGGCCACAGACGCACAAGATTTGTGTCTGTAAGCACAAGTGAGTCTGTTTAAAGCCAGGTCTGGTGCTTGGTCCTGGGGGAAAGGAATCTATCACAAGCTGAATTCCAAAGATCGGGGTGGAGGTGGGGGTGGGGGTTGCTCTCAGCAGTGTCAAAGGGGGAAGTCAGCATAGTGGAATGAATGGCAGAGGTCAGCTTAGCTGGGGTCGGAGGCTCAGGAGACAGATTCCGGCGTAGTGGGGCCAAGCAGCCTCCGGAATCCCGAACAAGAATTTCTTTATGTTCTGCTGATGGGAAGGGCACACCCACATCACCTCGGGAAGACGCATTGAGGCAGAACAGGTGTGGCTGGTGAATCACTTGGGCCGCATCCCACAGACAGTGGGAAGTGGGCCATGCTGGAGGTGTGAGCCCATGTGACGCTGAACACTCCCTGAGCAGGGGCGTCTGGGTGGCTCAGCTGGTTAAGCATCCATCCCTTGATCTCAGCTTAGGTCTTGATCTCAGTGTCATGAGTTCAAGCCCTGCAATGGGCATGGAGCCTACTAAAATAAAATAAAATAAATACTCCATAAGTAAAATGCCTGTCCCTCTGGACAAAGGCCCTCGCTACAGGGTGAGGGGACAAAAGAGGCAAAGTGTGGATCAGACAAGATTTGGAAACAGATGTTCCTCCTTTTCACCAACTTTGAGCTGGCACCCCCGTGGGGACCTGTGAGGAGTGCCTTCCCCTCCTCTCCTTCGGCCTCAACTCCAGGCCCGGATTGGATGCTGCCTCTTGGGAGCCTTCTGAGATAGCCAGAGGCATGGGTAACCTTCCTGGGGTGGCCCCTGAGCATGGGGCCACTCGGTGTCCCTATCAGTGCCTCCCACTTCATCAGAATCAACAGCCACCCCTTTTCTGTGAAAAATCTCCCAAAAGCGTGCTCTGCGTGGCCCCGGCTGGTGAGGGAAAGGATTGGCCAAGTCTCTTCAGTCGAGAGGCCTGAGGTGAAGAAGGGGAGAGAGACTCTGTGCTGGCTGGAGCCCAAGAGACTTGATTGTCCTTTTAGGCTGAGCAAGAGGAGCCAGTGAGGGGGCGCAAGACTCCAGCCCCAGGCAGAGGCGTGAGCCTCGGAGAAGAGGGTCTAGAGGAGAAAACTGACGGAGGTTGGGGTCACATTCTTCTCAAAGAGGCGCGGACACCTACAGAGCATGCACAAGTGAGGGAAGGCGCGGTGGCGGCCAGCCCTGGAACATCAGCCTTGGGAAGGTCAAAGGCGGTGTGTGGATGGATGCGGAGTTGGGAGTGGGCGGGCAGAGAGGCCCCCGCAAGTCCGGGAAGCCAGACCTCCACCAGCACAGACTGTGGGCGGCAGAGGCTTCCAGAATCCATCACCAGACCCGGACAGTCCATCTGAGGAAGATTCTGCACTCCAACCAGAGCAGACGAGACAGCCGTGGGTGGCTCACCAAAGAGCTACAGGTGCAGAGAGCTGAGGAAGCAAGGAAACAAAGAACAGCCCTCCACACACAGCCTTCCTCTGTGTTGCCTACAAATCCCCCGAGCTTTTCTGTGCTCCCTCTGAGCCTGGGAGGGTGAAGGTCCACGGCTCTGGCTTCCCGTGTCTCAAGGGCCAGCTCCTGGAGAAATGGCTGGTTTTAGTCTGGGGTGGGAGAAATGCAACAGGAGCTGAAGCATGCTGGTGCACCAGAAAGTAACAAGGTGCTCAAAAATAACGAAGGATTGGGGCGCCTGGGTGGCTTAGTCGGTTGAGCGTCCGACTTTCGCTTAGGTCATGATCTCGCAGTTCGTGGGTTCGAGCCCCGCGTCGGGCTCTGTGCTCACTGCCAACTCAGAGCCTGGAGCCTGTTTCAGTCTGTGACTCCCTCTCTCTCTCACCCTCCCCTGCTCATGCTGTCTCTCTCTCTCTCTCTCTCTCTCTCTCTCTCTCTCCTAGAAATAAATAAAAATAACGAAGGATGGAGGCATGTTAGAGGGATCCAGGAAAGAGCTCCCAGTGGCCAACGCTTGAACGATTTGATCCATAAAATAAATAACGCGGTATAGGATTATAATGCAAAATAAGAAATGAATATACATGAGTCCATATTCAAATAAATTGTTAAGTAAGTGGGGAAGAGGCAAATCTTCCATAGAGAAGAATTCAAAATAAGATGTGTAGATACTTCCCTCCCAGGATGTAGAGTTCAACAGACTCCCCACCCCCACTCCCTGAGAGTAGGTCTTAGTGATTTGCCTCTGAAAAATAGAGTGTGGGGTGGAGAGCCTGGGCGGCTCCGTCTGTTAAGCACCTGACTCTTGAGTTCAGCTCACATCATGATCTCACAGTTTGTGAGTTTGAGCCCCATGTTGGGCTCTGCACTGTCATCTGCCTGGGATTCTTTGTCTCTCCCGGTCTCTCTGCCCCTTCCCTCTCATGATCTTTCTCTGTCAATATAGATAAGTAAACTTTAAACAAACAAACAGGAATAGAGTGTGGACAGGGAAAAATGGCAACTTTATGGTGGAGAAGCCTGGCAGACACCACCTTGACCAAGTGAGGCAGGTTAACATCACCAGTGATGAGCCACGTTGGCATCACATACCCTCTGATGGGGGTGCTGAGGAGACGTGTACCCCACCGTGTGATGCTTCTTCCCCTAAACCCATCACCCCAGTGGAATCATGAGAAACACACCAGACAAATCCACACGGAGGAACGTTCTACAAAATACCTGACCCGCACTCCTCCGTCAAGGTCACGATGAACAAAGAAAGACTGAGAAGCTGTCACAGAGCAGAGGAGGCCCAGGAGACAAGACGACTGAAGGCCCACGAGATCCTAGATTCGGTCCTGCAGGAGAGAGAAGAAAAACTGGTGAGACGCGGCTCAAGTGTGGCGTTCGGTTACTGACAATGCACTTGTCTGTTCCGTGTGGCACACGGGGGACCCTGACAACGGGGGACACTCAGATGAGAGGCACACAAGGACCTCGGCCCCGTCTTTGCCACTTTTCTGTAAATCTAAAATGGGTCCAGAAAGAAAACTTTATTGAAAATGCAGCCCTGGGAGTCTCCTGTAGACCAAAGCCTACACAGCCATCTTGCCATCGGCCGTGTGCAAAAGGTGCACGTGGAGAGCTCATAAAATGGAAACACAAGTTATATATATATATGGAAGGTACACGGAACAATTCTCACCCCTCACCTGCAAGGCATTCACCATCTTCCCTTCTGTTCTATTTTTAAAAGCAGCACTGCTCACAACCAACTACCCTGATTTCAAAAACCTGTAATCTATATATATTTCTCTTTCAACAGCAAGATTAGGCTTACTGCATACATGAATAGTGTTATTATTCGTGTGTTCAGATTTCTGATATTGCTGATACAGGGACTTCAAACATTTTTTTTTTCTTGTGACCGCAAAAGGTCAGCTCTGGATGTAGGAAACAAACATCTCATTAAAGCCATGAATTAAATGGATAACTGTCAGGTGTTATGCAGCCACCAGATTATGCTTGTGGAGACCATATAGTAACATGGAAAAATATGTATTCTTTGTGCAAATATTGATCGCCTATGGTGTATCTGATGCTGAGCTGGGCATGAGGGAGAAAGTGCTCAGCAAAAGAGACACAGTCCTTCCATCACAGAACTATAAAACAGGTGAAAAATATGACGCAAATAGTCACACAGTACGTAAGCTGTGATCTGTGTGAGTAAAAGGGTCCTAATTTAGGGCGAGAAGGGTGGGCAGGAGTGGCCTCTTTGGAGTGGTACTGGCTGGGGATGGTAAGGAAGAAGTGGTCCCAGGAAGAGGAAACGTCCAAGGCACTGAGGTGGACGAGAACCGGGAAGTTCCAAGGAGCTGGAAGGTCGGTGTGGTTAGCATGTCGTGAGTGTCGTGGGCAGGAGGCGAGCTGGGGAGGAGCCCGGGCACGGAGGCCTGGCTCGGGAATTGGGATTTGCCCAAATGCACTGGCGGGTGCGGAATGCTAGGATCTGGTTTACATTTCTTTTTTAATTTTTAATGTTTATTTATTTTTGAGAGACAGAGTGCGAGCAGGGGAGGGGTAAAGAGAGAGGGGGAGACGCAGACTCTGAAGCAGGCTCCAGGCTCCAAGCTGTCAGCACAGAAACCAACGCGGGGCTCAAACTCACAATCCGTGAGATCATGACCTAAGCCTAAGTTGGACCCTCAACCAACTGAGTCACGCAGGCAGCCCCAGTTTATATTTTTTAAAAATCACTCTGGTTACTGGGAGGAGAGGTAAGAAGGGGAAAAGAGTAAAACCATGGAGACTGGTTAGGAGGCTCTCAGAAAGCCCAGACAAAAGATAAGGGCAGAGGTGAAGGAAGGTGAGTTACAGATCAGACATGTACTTGGAAGTAGCCTCAGGTGGACCTGGTGAGGGACTGGGTGTGGATTTTGATATAAAGTGAAGTTCGGACAGTAATCTATGTTACCATACTTCCTGCGTTAGGACTCTGGTTAGGTGAAAACTGTTAGTGTGAATGGATAAGGCCTGGAGGCACAGAAAGTGAAGAGTCTGGTTCACGGGACAGCAGAAGTAATATGAGGTAAAACCACATCGGAGTCAGACAGACTTGGGCTGTGTCCCAGCTCTGCCGCTGACCACTGATGCTGGACAGGCTCTCCAACCTCTCTGTTGACTCCCCTGTAAGGCGAGGAGACCTCACCAGACTGTTAGCTTGCTCCCTGAATCTTCAGAATCAAGTCTTTTGAAAGCTTAAATGAGATAATACATGTAAGGTGCTTAGCTCAGTCCCTGCAATAGTACCTTCTTTTTTTTTTTTTTTTTTTATGTTTTATTTATTTCTAGGAGAGAGAGAGACAGCATGAGCAGGGGAGGGTCAGAGAGAGAGGGAGTCACAGACTGAAACAGGCTCCAGGCTCTGAGCTGGCAGTCAGCACAGAGCCCGACGTGGGGCTCGAACCCACGAACCGCAAGATCATGACCTAAGCGAAAGTCGGACGCTTAACCGACTAAGCCACCCAGGCGCCCCTGCAATAGTACCTTCTTAATACACTGTAAGTACCATTACTTTGCCTGGCTATCGTGGTGGAACCAGGGTGAAATTTTCATTCTTTATTGTAACTGAATTAATACCGTTAGACTGCTACTTATATAGTCAACATACTAATATTTAGAAGCGGGTTGAGGCTTCTGAAACTGTATGGGAACAGCTCATGCACTTCCTGCCCGGTAACACTTTGTAAACCTGTGTCCCAAACTCCCCATAGCTTCAGGATTCTTCTGCAGGGCACCTGAGGGTCAGAGAAGACCACAGGCTGTCTCTTTAAGGTGCCACCAGATGGACATGGGACCACCAGCCCCAGTCCCTCGCTTCCAGTCTGGCCGAGGACCTCCCCTTAAGAAGGCGGGCTATACCTGATTCCAGCAGAGTCCCATCCAGGGCTTTCCTAAGTCTGTCTGTCCCAGCCGCTGCTGCAGATTCTGAAAGCATTCATTCATTCAGCCTTAACCAAGCACCCATTCCAAGCCAGGCTGTGTCCTCAGACAACCTAATAAGCAAAATATAGCATAACTGAGGTATAAATAAAGTTCCGCGAGATACGGACTTTGCCTGGCTTCGGCTTCAGAAGAGAGACATCACAGCTGGATCTTACAGGACGTGTGGGAGAGAAGGCCAGTTCCTGCAAATAGACCAGCACCAGAGCGTGACTCACGTGGGGATGGACAGCAGTGTCCCTGTGGTGGGCTCAGTAGCGTGCGGTAGGAGGTGGCCAGGCGTGAGAGGGAAGTGGGGACCACCCTGGGAAAGATCTCGGGGACATGTTAAGGAGTTTGGACTCGATTCTGAAGGCCACAGGGAGCAAAAACAAGTTTTGAAGCACCATCAGATTAGCATCTTCGATCCTCTGGCAGCAGCAAGGAGAGGGGCCTAGAGCAGCAGAGACTGGGGGCAGAATTTTATGAGGATCCAAGCTGGGCGGGGTTCAGCCAAGGCTGGAGAAGGAGAGGAGGTGTCTGCATCAGCCTCCAGTAAGGGGAGGGAAGCCTGAAATGCGAGGGGAGACCACAGAGCGCTTGCGGGTCTGGAAACCTAAAGCTGCTGGGCAGAGGGGCCGGTCATCCAACAGTCCCACAATCTTGAGGAGAGGCCAGACCTCCCAGCAGAGTGCAGCCACGAGAGGCAGAGCTGGAAGTGACCGGCTGGGCAGCGGTGCAGCCGGCCATAGGCACCCCAGGGCCATCCAGGCTGTGCTGCGGCGCTGCCCTGAGCCAGCACCCTATCACCTTACTACCCTTCGAGAAGCATCTGCAGGGAGAATCCCCGTAAGAGTGATCTTCAAAAAAAAAAAAAAAAGACCATGATCTTCAAGGGCAGGGTCCCTCCCTGGGTCTTCCTGTGCTCTGTTCTTAGATAAGCTCTCTTCCCAGCTCTGGTCCTACGTGCATATATAGCAAGAAATTAGTAAATTCCCTGACAATTCAAACCACAGTCCCAGAATCGAGCTGCACAGTGTCTGACTAGCCTGCTGCCTTAGGGCTCGGGCCCATCCCTGAGCCCATCCCTGTGGCAGGTGGATGACATGCCCCGATGAGCTTAGCTGGGGTCACATGCAGCCCGGAGTGAGGTGCAGAGGCAGCTTCTCTGGGGGCAGGACTGGGGGGCCATGGACCAGGGGACCATGAACTGGGAGCCATGGACTAGGAGCCATTGACTAGAAGCCATGGACTGGGGGCCATGGACTAGGAGCCGTGGACCGGGACCGTGGACTGGGGGGCCGTGGACTGGGGGCCGTGGACTGGGGGCCATGGACTGGGGGCCATGGACCAGGGGACCATGAACTGGGGGCCATGGACTAGGAGCCGTGGACTGGGACCATGGACTGGGGGACCATGGACCGGGGGCCATGGACTAGGAGCCGTGGACTGGGACCGTGGACTGGGGGGCGATGGACTGGGGGACCATGGACCGGGGGCAGAACTGGAGCAGACACCCAGAGGAAAATCAAGGTTTGGGACAATCAAAGGAAATGGATGTGGGGCAATGGCCAAAATCAAACTGCCCACCAGAGAGACCCAGTTCTATTTGCTCCCCAGGGCCAGGCACAGAGTGGACAGATGAACTGTTAGATGAAAGTCGAAGATAGGATAGAATCGTTCCAAGTTAAGCTATTCCTGGAGAAGGACTTGAAAGACCCAGTCGGGGGGGCTGGAGAATGAACGACTCTGAGACCCCAAGGCAGAAAGAGTAGAGGGGCATTTGGGGGGCTCAGTCTGATGAGCGTCCGACGTCGGCTCAGGTCATGATCTCAAGGTTTATGGATTCGAGCCCCGCATCGGGCTCTATGCTGCCAGCTCAGAGCCCAGAGCCTGCTCTGAATTCTGTGTCTTCCTCTCTCTCTGCGCCTCCCCTGCTCGTGCTCTGTCTCTCTCTCAAAAATAAATAAACATTTAAAATTTTTAATAAAAAAAGAGTGGAAATGTATGTTGCAAACTGGTCACTCTCAACCTCGGCTGAAGATTACAATCACCTAGAGAGCCCTGGCAACGTGCCCACACTGGTGCCCCGCCCCCGACAGGAGGCTTTCATGGGCCTGGGCGGTGCCCTGGCCCCTGGGACCCTGCGAACTCCCCAGCTGATCCCGCTGTGCAGCCAAGGGTGGGAACCAGGGCTCTGAGCCTCCCGAGCCGAAGGCCTTGCGGAACCCCAGGGGTGCGGGAACTGGGAGGGACAAAACACAACACAGCCTGGCTCATCGGCTGGGCTTTCTTGAGACTTGGGGCTCCGGAGGGGAACTAAGAAACCCAAGGAGTTCCCGGGGCCAAGGGGGTGCGGCGCCCGCTCTGAGCACAGGGCAGAAGGAATGAATCCCCAAGCCCGCAGCTGCCTCGGGGAGCCTCCCACAGCCCTGAACGGGCCACTCTTCCTGAGTGCCCTTCGGGGAGAGCAGGGCTGGGCAGGCTCAGACGGGAGGGGACTCCAGGGCCTCGTCTGAGGCCGACTCAGCAAGACTGAGGGTGAGTTGAGGTTTCTGACTGGAGACATCGTGCAGGTGGAGATGCCTCTCGAGGGCACACGGAAGCCCGGAGGGAGGCGAGCAGCAGCAGAGCAGAGAGGAGAGCGGGTCGGGGCAATCTTGGACCCGCGGAGACCCAGGATGCGGAGGGACGGGCAAGAGATGCTGGGAGGCAGCCAGAGAGCATGGAAGGGGGACTCGGGAGCTGAACCCAGAGGACCATGAGGAGCGCACTGAGCTGGCCGGGGCAGAGCTGGGCTGAGTAGGAGTCACCAGGTGAGGGAGGGGAGCCTGGAGGCTGAGAGGGTGGCCCATCCCGGGGGCCCAGGGTCCTAGATGTGGACCAACCCCCTCCCCCCTTTAGCTTGATTCAGCTGAGTCTAATATCTTAAAATTCTTTCTGGGGTGGGGGACGCCTGGGTTAAGCGTTCAGCTCTTGGTTTGGCTCAGGTCATGATCTCGTGGCTCATGGGTTCGCCTGTGTTGGGTTGATGGAGCAGATTTCTCCCTCCTTCTCTCTCTGCCCCTTCCCCGCTCACACTTGCTGGTGCTCGCTCTCTCTCAAATAAATAAATAAACATAAAAAAAAAAAACAACCTTTAGCGGGGTGGCTGGGTGGCTCAGTCGGTTAAGCATCCGACTTCGGCTTAGGTCATGATCTCACTGTTAATGAGTTCGAACCCCACGCTGGGCTCTGTGCTGACAGCTCTGAGCCTAGAGCCTGCTTCAGATACTGTATCTCCCTCTCTCTCTGCCCCTCCCTCGCTCACTCTCTCTCTCTCTCTCAAAAATAAAAAAACCTTAAAAAAAAACCTTAAAAAAAATCTTAATTTTTTTTTAAAAAAAGAAACTCTTTAGTAGAAAACGAAGAACAAAACAAAAACAAACAAAAAGCAAAATCCTACAAAATAGAAACGAGTGGGTTTTCAATCCATTTCAGTGTAGCGAATAGTTGCCCAATGCCTACTACGCGCCAGACTAGCCACAGATGGCTCGGCCGGCATGGCTAGCTTATCAGACACACAGGCCTGGCACTCTCCCCTCCCCGGCCCCTGGGGCGGCCACGGCGGCCCTGGCTCCCTGCACCTGTGCAATAAAGCTCGGCTCATCCACCAGTTGCTCTAAGTGAGGTCCCCCTGCAAATCTGGGGTCCTCCTGGTAAGTAACACTTTTCCCGAAAGCCACCTGGTTCTCATCAACTGCCCGGTGGGTGTTGGCTCTGAGTTCCAGAAAGCCCTTGCCTGGGCTGGGCTCTCCAGTCGGAGCTGGCTCCTCCGCCAGGCCCCACCTCCGGCTCTTTCCCATGCTGCTCAGGGCAGAGATGAGGGAGTACACGCTTTCTGGACGTTTCTAACCATCTCTCCAACAGCTCGCCCCCAGGGCAGGGGGCCAGGGACAGGGGGTCCCCAGAGTTTCCTTCTTCCAAACCTCAGCCTGTGATACCAAAGAGCCAGCAGAAAGTCCCTTCCAATCAGGACCACACCTCTCTACTCACTGGGAGCAAGAAGCCTTGCGCTCAGCCCCGCCCACGGAGACACTTCCTCCGTCACCCTGCCATTCACCTGGCCAACGCTTCCGGCACCCAGGGACGGTGTGCCGGCTGCCTCCTCCTCGCAGACCCTCCTCCCCTTTGGAAGTTTCTTTTCTATTCCCTGTGATCTCTTTCGCCAGCGTCTTGAGTCTTTACCTCCTTCAAAACCAGCACAAGAGCTGCCTGAGCGTTTGGTTTTCTTCACTCAAGTACCTCTTTAAATTCCCTTATTTCTTTACATTTGCTGGTTTATCACTTTGTAAATGTCTTCTTTGGTTGGCTCTTGGGTATATCGTCTCTTGAACAGGTTGGGACTTTTTTTTTTTTCCTAATTGTGGCAAAACATACGTAACATAACATTTACCGTTTTACTCACGTTTAGGTGCACAGCTTTGGCGGGATTAAGTACAACCACAAGGTTATACAGCCATCACCGCTACCCATCTCCGGGACTTTTCTGTTAATCCAAATCCAAACAAGCTTTTTGATGCCTGGCAAGTAAGAACATGTTTAATTGACTTTTTATTCCTTGTTCTACACATAATGTGTTCTATAAATACTCTTGGCAAACTAGAGCAGACAGGAGGTTTAATATAAAAGGCACCAAACAGGCACCAATAGCTCATCAAAGCACCTCTTCTAAAATTACTTCTTGGGGCGCCTGGGCGGCTCAGTCGGGTAAGTGCTCAACCCTTGGTTTCAACCCAGGTCATGGTCTCCAGGTTTGTGAGTTTGAGCTCCACATTGGGCTCTGAGCTGTCAGCATGGAGCCTGCTTGGGATTCTCTGTCCCCCTCTCTCTGCCCCTCCCGTTAGCTCTCTCTCTCAAAAATAAATACACAAACAATATTTTAATAAAAAAATAAAATTATCTCTTACTAAGACAAGAGGGGGGAAGGCTGGCCCCCAAAGAGGGAGAAAACACATAGAAACTTTTTCCAGACGGGACCCTGCATTGAGCTATGACCTGGCCCCGGCCAGCGGCGTTCAAGACGGCGTCCGAGACTGCGAAGGAGATGCAGATGAGTAGGACAAGGCCTTTGTCTTCTCTTCTGAGAGGCCAACGAAAGCACCTGGAGGGATGGACGAGCCCAGGCTCCTGAGTGAGATCCCTGAACAGAGGGGTGTTTCCCCAAACGTGGCTCATCACATAGGTCACTCAGAGCATCCATTAAAGAGATGGAATCAGTACCTCTGGGGTGGGACCTGGGAATCTGCATATTTAATAAGTGCTTGGCGTGATTCTTATGGAAGACAAATTTGGAAAGAATGAACTGGAATGTTCCATCAGCAAGGTGGGGCCAACCTAGCCGCCTGGGGCAGTGAAGGTAAAAGCTCCCTGCCAGACTTACTTTATGCTCCCCAACAGCTATTCTGAGCAGGAGGCTGATTTCCTGAACCTTCCCAGGGCTGCCAGTCCCCAGCACTCCCATGGGCCTGGGGCTTCTGCACGCTTGGGCCTTCCTCTCCGATGTCCCGCACGCAGGGCCCATACACCGCCTCTCACGCCTGTGCTGAGGCCTTGGATGATCCCAAGCTCTGGCAGCCCATCCCTGGCCTGGGTCCCCACAGCTGAGGAAGGACAATGAGATCGAGTCCTAATTTAGAACAAAAGAGCCAGGTAGTCATGGTGAGGTATTAATTAGGGACTGACAACAGATAGCTGGTGACATCATACTCTACCTTTAGCTCCAGCTGAAGCTCCACTGCATGGAAAGAAGCCTGGAAGCTTGTATCTACCAAACCTGAGGTCAGTGTTTACAGAGGGAGACACTGGACACCAACCATACCGTCACGGCTGAAATTTCACCTTGGGGCCCTCCTGATGCACGCTGCCGAGCCGAGCCTGGGAGGCTCCTTCACACCGGCGTGGCTCCGGTGGGCCTCCCGGCCACAGAAACAGGGCCACCACCATCTCCCACGGCCACTCCCGGCTGCAGCGAGTCGGAGCCAGTTAGGGCTCGACAGGCTAGAAATTCAGAAGTGTCTTCCTGTTAATAAAGCCCAGAGGGTTTTGTTTTCATTAAAACAAAATAAAGAAGAAAACAGTGTGGAGGTTCCTCAAAAAATTAACAACAGAACTCCCCTGTGACCCAGAAATAGCACTGCTGGGAATTTACCCAAGGGACACAGGAGCGCTGATGCATAGGGGCCCATGTACCCCAGTGTTCATAGCAGCACTCTCCACAATAGCCAAGACACGGAAAGAGCCTAAGTGTCCATCAACGGACGAATGGATCAAGAAGATGTGGTTTATCTATACCATGGAATACGACATGGCAGTGAGAAAGAATGAAATCTGGCCTGTGTAGCAACGTGGATGGACCTTGAGGGTGTCATGCTGAGCGAAATAAGTCAGGCAGAGAAGGACAGATACCATGTTTGCACGTGTAAGTGGAACAGGAGAAACTTAACAGAGGACCATGGGGGAGGAGAAGGGGAAAATAGTTAAGGACGGGGAGGGAGGCAAACCAGGAGAGATTCTTGAATACCGAGAACAAACGGAGGGCTGATGGGGGTGGGGGGGAGGGGAAGGGGGGTGATGGGCATGGAGGAGGGCACTTGTGGGGATGAGCACTGGGTGTTATATGGAAACCAACTTGACAATAAACTATAATAAATAAAATAAAACAATTATTATACCCCCCCCCAAAAAAACTAAAAGAAATTACAGCGAAGCTGTTTCAGAACTTTTGTGTTTACCTTTACTCCAGAAGGTTTCCATAAAGTGGTGTTTCTGTGGACTGTCACCAGGTGTGGCACAGCAGGAAAGCTTCCGTCCCCCATAGTTTTGGACTAAACTGAGTGAGTAGGTTTCTGTACTGGTCTTTTTTTTTTTTTTTTTTCAGGAACCTTTAATATGTCCGTATAGACAAGAAACTCCCAAGAAGTAAATGCAGCGGGCTATATTTTCTAAATAAAATTGACTTACCAACAGTGAAACCTTAAGTAGTTTTCCACATTTCGGGAGATGCTTAACTAAAGGGTACTGCCCCCCAGGACCCACCTGACTTATAAGAAATAAAAAGTTGCTATTTTGTTTGCGCTCTGGTGAATACCTCCTCCCTCTGATACGTCCGTCTCTGTAACCACAAAAATCACTTCTTGGGGTGAAGCAACAGAGCACAGTAGCGTGAGTGGGCTGTCTGGAGTCCTACCTGGGCTCCCCCACTTATCAGCCTTAGGCGTGTTAACTAACCTCCTTATGCCTCAACTTTGCCGTCTGTAAAATGGGCAGTGTTGGCACCTTCCCTCGAAGGTGGTGGTGAGGAACAGGCAAAGCCTGAGTTATTACTGTCAAGCCACAGAGCCACTGTCTCCTGAAGTGGGGGGAACTTTTGCCCACTTCTGGGCTCGATGGTCCCGCAGATAAACCAGTGGTCACTTTGGAAGGTGCGGCACGCCAGGACGGAGGCCAAATGCAAGGGTGAGAACGAGCTGAAGAGGACATCGAGCTAAAACCCCAGAGCATCTGGGGGGCGATACGGAGGTACAGGCCAGGACCATGGGCCTGGGATGAAGGCGAAGGGTCCCTAAAATGAGTAGAATGAGGAAAAGAATCAAGTCAACCTTGAGACGAGATATCTAAAAATATATCCTTACGGGGCTCAATAAATGCATTATAAACACAAAAAAGAGGGGGGTAAGTAGAGGAGGAAAAGAAAAGCATCAAACCTCAGAATTTCCTTTAGGACGCCACCAACTGTACCCATCACCCCGCTCTGAGGAGGCTGACGGCCTCGACAGCTGTCTGGGCAATATGGGGGGTGAAGGTCACTGGGGAGTCACAAGGCGACAGGGCCACCCAGGGTGGCACTAAGCAAAGACGGGAAAAATGAAGATACAGTAGCCCCCCCAAACCTGTCCCTTACCCACAATTCACTTGCTGTCTCAGTCACCTGCTGTCAGCGCGGGGTTCCCAAGGCAGACAATCCTCCTTGACGCCTCCTCAGAGGGTCACTCGCAGCCTAGCGCTGTTAGTCACATGCCCGCACCTGGGCCCTCACGTCACCTCCTCACGTGGCGCTTCATCACCTCTCACCCTCCCAGGAGGAAGAACGATCACGGTAAGACATTTTTGAGGAGAGAGCACGGCCACATAACTTGTGTTTCAGTGTATCGTCACAGTCGTTCTATTTTACGAGTTATTGCTGTTAACCCCCTCCGGTGCCCGATTTATACATTAAGTGTTACCAGAGGTACGCATGTGTGGGAAAACACAGGGAAAATATGGGGTTCGGTACCCTCTGCTTTCAGCATCCGCTGGGGGGCTTGAACCCCCCGCCCCAGATGGGGGGGGCGCTATACACAACCAAGAGGGAGAATGGAGAGGTTCTGCTGCTGAGTTCCCACACTACACTGGGGCCTCTCCAATTAGGATTTCTTTTCTTTTTTTTTTTTATTTATTTTGGGAGAGAGAGAGGCAGAGAGAGAGGACAAAGGAGAGGGAGAGAGAGAGAGGGAGAGAGAGGGGAGAGAATCCCAAGCAGGCTCTGCACCATTAGCACAAAGCTCGACATGAGGCTCGAACTCATGAAACTGTGAGATCATGACTGGAGCTGAAACCAAGGGGTGGACATTTAACTGCCTGAGCTGCCCAGGCTCAAATTAGGATTTCAGTCACTTCACGGGCATTGCAGGGTGGACAGGACATCTACTGCTGCACAGTGACGTGGGCCACAGCAGGCAAACAGGGTCCTCAGAAACCCTCCATGGGGCGCCCGGGTGGCTCAGTCAGTTAAGCATCTGACTTCGGCTCAGGTCATGATCTCACGGTTCATGGGTTTGAGCCCCACATCAGGTTCTGTGCTGACAGCTCGGAGCCTGGAGCTGCTTCGGATTCTGTGTCTCCCTCTCTCTCTGCCCCTCCCCACCTCGTGCTCTGTCTCTCTCTCAAAAGTAAATAAACATAAAAAAAAAAAAAAAGAAAGACAAGAAAAAAGAAGCCCTCCAGAAAACATCTGAGCAGGAATGGAACTTTTTTTTTTTTTTCTGAGAGAGTGATAGAGACAGCATGAGCAGGGGAGGGTCAGAGAGAGAGGGAGACACAGAATCTGAAGCAGCTCCAGGCTCTGAGCTGTCAGCACAGAGCCCGACGCGGGGCCTGAACCCATGAACGTGTGATCATGACCTGTGCTGAAGTCGGACACTTAACCGACTGAGCCACCCAGGTGCCCAGGAATGGAACTTTAATAGCATCCTGTGCGAGTTCAGATAGAAACGTTAACTTCCTCATTATGGCTGAGAATGAACTCATGAGGTCAGTCCTGGGAAAAGCAGTTCGGTCTCTTTAAAGCCACAATGCAATGAGGCAACTCTAAAAAGGATATTTGTGAGGCAATCTGGGAAATTGGAACACTGTCCTTTGATGATATTAAGGAATAACCTAATTTTTTAGATATGCTAATGCGTTGTAAATAAGCTTCTGAAAAGGAATCCTTAGCTATTAGAGACACACAGGGCAATTGCTACAAGCTTCACACAATCTAGTAGTGTACAGAAGAGGGTCAGTGTACAGATAGAGTGGGATGGGCCCTGAGTTGCTGATCATTGAAGCCGGTGGAGGCGGGGGCGGGGGGGGGGGGAGCAGCGGATAAGTGAAGCTCACTCTACTGTTCTAATTCGGTATGTGTTTGGAATTCCCATTAAAACCTCTGCAAAGCGGGTGCCCAGCTGGCTCAGTAGGTAGACCTTGAGACTCTTGATCTTGGGTCATGAGTTTGAGCCCTAAGGTGGGTGTAGAGATTACTTAAAAATTTTTTTTCAAGGGGCGCCTGGGTGGCTCAGACGGGTGAGCATCCAACTCTTGATTTTGGCTCAGGACATGATCTCAGGGTTTGTGAGATCAAGCCCCGTGTTGGGCTCTGTGCTGACAGTGGAGAACCTGCTTGGGATTATCTCTCTCTCCCTCTCTCTCTGACCCTCCCCTGCTCATGCTGTCTCTGTCTCTCTCTCTCAAAATAAACAAATAAACTTAAAAAAAATAAAATAAAATTCAGAAAGTACACAGGAGTTTCCAGTGAAAAGCTTCCCTCCAACCTTTCTGCCCCACCAGCGCACAGCTCCCTCTCCAGAAGCATCCGTTTCCTACATGCTCTTCAAGAGAGTAACCCTTCCCTTCCCCCTGGTTCACCGGGACGGTACCACTGTATGCACACTGCCTTGCAGCTGCCCTTCCCCCCTTCATTTGCTTGGGTTCCTTCTGTAACAGAACAGAAAACAGCTCCTCCCCTTTCCCCAGCTGCATTTACTCCCGCAGTCAGGCTGCCTCCCCCTGCGGTAAGTGCTTTGGGGTTCTGGAAATGAATAAAATACAGGTTTCCCCCAGTAGCCCACAGTCTAAGAAGTACTTTCTTTTGAGAAGGGGGAAGTAAAGACAAACCAGAGGCTTCTCCCTCCAGGCCGATGATCACCAGCGGAGCTGTGGAGCGATCTTCACAGCCGGGTCCTTGCAAGGGAAAAGGCAGCTGACATGGAAGGTTCTGAGGAAGCTCCAGGGTCTGCCAGGGGCTGCTGGTGAAGGTGGCAGGGAATGGCTGGATCTCTGCCACCTTCTC